ACTGAAAAGTAAGCCTCAAACAAACAGTTGGTGTGTAAAAACTCTTGGTCAGATCTTAAAAACTCCTTGAAGTCTGAGCAGCAGAAAACTCTGACACATGAATTTTAATGTTTCTACAGTTTGTTTGTTTTTATGTAAGAAATCAGACAAGTTACAAAAATGCTTCACCTCCAGTTTTGAAGAGAACATTTACAGAAACAAAAAACAGAATTCCTATAGCAGGGAGAGAAACATTGGGTTTAAGACCAGAATGCCGACATTTCCATGTGTTTTTTTCTATTTGCAGCAAAAAGGAGGGAGTAAAACGAGTTTGCAAACGATTAACGTCAAATTTTGACCGCTCAGAAAATGATAGTTTGGGACAAAACGTGCTGAAGGTTTTCCTGATGCTGCATGTGTGGACCGTGAGAGAGCTGCTGCAGTATTTAGTCTGCTCACAGAATGTGTTCAAATATTAACACACAGGAAGGAGCAGCAGCCAAGGTTAAACCACTCGGGCCGAGCCATGCATATATGATGCTTTAAATGCCCCGCTCCCTCAGGACCATCTAATATTGATGAGGCAGGTGCCCCGCTTGTCAGACAAATGATGTGGAGCGACACCGTCCTGTCTGACGAAGAGCGCCCCCGGGACTGGATCAAAGCCAGTCAGGCTCACAGGAAGTGTCAGAGTCGGTCATCGTTCTGTCAGAGACCCACGAGCCGAGGCAGAGAGCCAAACGTCTTCTGGTCTAACACCAAACCTGCTTTTCAAGTCATGAACCTGCAGCCGCCGTGGGAGGCTGCTGCAGAAGGTCACTGAGCCCGAGTTACGTCGACGCTGCACGTTCACACGCTTCACTACAGTGCAGCTTGATAAACACCTGAGCGGAAACAATCAAGCTGTGATAAATCACTGATGCAGTCCGGTAATGAATAGATGAGCAGGACACACATCCTGCTGGGAAGTTTCTCTGACACTGGCTGCTCCAGCGAGACGTGCCGAGGCCTGACCTACTAACACGAGAGGCCAGAAGCTGAGAAACTAACGACCCGTCAAACCACACGGGAGCCATGAAAAGAGGACAAAGTCTTCACAATCTGTCACAAACTCAACGTTCAAAGACAGGTTGTTAGTTTCAGACTCATCTATTTTGTGAAAGTTGATTCTTTTCCTGTTTTATTTCCTCGTACACTTCATGGCGTCTACCTACGTCTGCGTACTCTGCAGTTTTAGTCAGAGCTGAAACATCACGGCTCACGGTGCTACGGTTTGTAAATTTTCCAACTTCCATATTTCTCTAAATATTTTATTTTATGCAGCACGGTGGTGCAGTTGATAGAGCTGTTGTCTCTCAGTGAGAAGGTTGCCAGTTCAAATCCTGGTTGGGGGCCTTTCTCTGTGGAGTTTGCATGTTCTCTCCGTGCTGCGTGGGTTTTCTCCGGGTACTCCAGTTTCCTCCCACAGATCAAAAACATGCATGTTAGGCTGATTGGTAACTCTGAATTGTCCCTAGGAGAGAGAGTGAATGGTTGTTTGTCTCTATGTGTCCCTGTGATGGACTGGAGACCTGTCCAGGTGTCCCTGTAATGGACTGGAGACCTGTCCAGGTGTCCCTATGATTCCTTGTGATGTACTGGAGACCTGTCCAGGTGTCCCTATGATTCCCTGTGATGTACTGGAGACCTGTCCAGGTGTCCCTATGATGGACTGGAGACCAGCATTTTCTATATTTCTCTCTCACTGGTACATTTTCATCTTTAAATCACTTCTTGGTCTGCTGCCTTCATACATCTCCTCCTACATGTCTCTGCGTGAGTGCAGCTACAGCGTGCGCTCTCAGGACATCATTACCTGCAGTGTCCCCTCAGTGAGGACTGAACTAGACACAAGGACCTTCTCCTACTCCGCTCCTGTTTCCTGGAATATCTTGCGAAAAGACCTGAAGCTCTCGACCTTGACCTCTCTAAGTGGCTTCAAACATCTGATAAGTTCCTGGAAGAACCAACGCAGACATGTTCCTGTTTTTAGTTTTCCACACCGCCTTACAACCTAGCTGTTTTTTGTTACATTTTTTTTAATACCATTATATTTTGACTTGTTATTCTCAATGTGCATGCATCCTTTATGATTGTCCACTGTTGTCCTGACTCTTTGTTAAAACCAGGTCTCTCTTGTAAATGAGTCCCCGAGGCTCAATGGGATTAACCTGTAGAAATAAAGGTTGAATGAAAAAAAAAAGTTTTACCAAAGCCTCACTTTTTATTCATTTTCTCTTTTTTTATGTGACAGTCTGGATGAGCGTGGATCTCTGTGAAAGATCCCAGTACGTTTGCATCACTGATGTCACCTCCAATGAACATTTTCTGTCAAAACTTAGTTGCATAATTTCAAGCCAGTGAAACTTTTGAAAACACTCCCGCTGCTCCTCTCCTGCCTGATGATGTGCCTGTCAGTGAGTCACTTTCCATCGGGCCATTTCTTAGTCAGAATTCATTCTGTGTGGAAAACGGAGGTGAGACAGGCTGTAGGTACTGCAGACACTCTGGATGTTGAAGCTGTGATTTTTAAATAGTGACGAGGGAAGCCTGGACGTGAAGGACCTAACGGACACAGACTCGTCCTGTATGCAGACGATGTAAAGACATTGAGCTGTTTGGTGCTGTCCATGGTGCTGAATCACGCTGTAACGTTAAACTCTGATCACAGCGACTGAGCAGAACACCAGATCAGTAGACAGCACCACCTTGTGGACAAAAGGTTCAGGTGCAGTGAACGCAGTGCACAATAAATGCACTGTTGAAGCAGCCTTCTAAGAAATCTGCAGCATGTATGTGATTTTGTTGGACAGCCCATATTTTGACACTATTCTATTACAACACTATTATTATTATTATTGCTGTTATTAACACATTATTAACAGTATTATTGACACCCTGGACAGGTCTCCAGTCCATCATGGGAACACATAGAGACAAATGAGACAATCATTCTCTCTCTCACACACGGGGACATTAAACTTCACATAGAAAGGCCGCAGGCAAGAGACGAACCTGCGGCCTTCTTGCTGTGAACTGACAGCTCCAACCGCTGTTCCACCTTGCTGCATGCGGTTTGTTTTTATGTCTTAACATTACTATATCAAAATACAGTTCAAACTAGAAAACTAACATCCACGTGTATCAGAAATACTTGCAGGAAGGATTCCTTCAAAATGTTACAGATATTCAGCATGGCGTCACAGCCAACATACAAATAACTTTAAATAAATCAGTTTAGATATTGAGCTCAAGTAAAGTTCTCTATCTAAGGAATCTGTTGGACTCCTGGCAAGGACCAATGCGGACATGTTCCTGTTTTTAGTTTTCTACATTCGCCTTATAATCTGGCTGTTTTTGTTACTTTTTTTGCCAGCTTATTTGTATTAAAAAAATTGTATGCCTTTTTATAACCGTCTATTGTTGTTGCTGTTGTCCACTGTTGTCATCATTCTTTGTTGAATTCAGGTCTCTCTTGTAAATGAGTCCTCGAGGCTCAATGGGATTAACGTGTCTAAATAAAGGTTGAATGAAAAATACTCTGTTACATCTTGCGTTATTAGTTATTTTAAGGTTTGATCAAAAATGGCTACAATCTCATAGAAACTCTGGAATAAAAGGCTGCTGACAATACACTGCTTAGCCTTTATGTGACAGAGTACTGTAAGGAAGTATTTTTAATCAATGGGGAGGCTGAACACTAAAAGACGTTTGTTTAAGCAGACTTGTTGCCGTTGTTCAACCAGCTTGTGCAGTTTTATGTAAATCTCTGTGGAGGTTAAACATCTCGATTCTAGCCCCTGGGGAACTGCGAGGAAGAATACGTCCCTTTATACACGAGCGCTCGTTAGATTGATATCGACTGCTAAAGGACCCCGTCACCTCCTGCTTCTCTTTACTGATGCTTCAAAACGTTACTGTCTCTTTCTTGTTGTGGATTTGACTGGAGAAACTGTCGACATTAATAAAGTTGTATTATATCATAGTGCAAAGTTGTGGGGCACAAAGGTTACAGAACAACATCAAAATGTGGGTAGGGTAGGTGAAGCACCCACACCTGCCCCCACCCTCATTCGCCCCACTCTGGGCCCTTGAGCAAGGCCCTTAACCCCCACCATCTGCTCCTCCGGGTGTCCTAGATGCAGCTCTCTGCTCCACACAGAGGCTGTGGTAGCCTGGTGGTCTGTGGTTGCGTCAGGAAGGACATCCGGCGTAACAATAACTGCCACGTCTTTGTGCGACTTAGTTGCTGTGGCGACCCCTGAAGAAGGGAGCAGCCGAAAGAAGAAGGAAAAAAATATATATGTATTTATTTATTTTTTAAATTGTCTCAGTGGGTGAATTGGTGAAGCTGTATTCATTCGTACCCATCTGCTCACTGTAGACTCATGTTTGGGCTGCTGCTGATACGCTGTATTGTTTGACATTATTTCTGTTTAGCTATATCTTAGATCTTTTAGTGTACCGTTTGGCATTCGTTTAGCACATATCTTGGTGTATAGATGCTTATATACTTTTTCTTTTTACAGTTTATATTTTGCTATTTCTGGATGTAGCTGGGACCCTGAGTACATAATTTAGTTGCGCCTCTTGTACCACATGTGACGCGAATGACAATGAACTTAACTTGAACTTGAACCAGGAGCATCTGCTCACATCCTCTGCAGCATCAGACTCAGCCAGCAGGGGGCGTCAGGGTGACACTATCAACACTGAACATTTTAACAATGATCGCTGCCTGTGTAATCTCAGAGCATCAACTTTAACAACAACAATCATTAAGAAGTGTCATTCAAAGTGTCGCATTTGGAGCTCCGAATACAAATAAACGGCGGTGATCTGGATGAATTTGCGGCGGAAGTGGCTGGAGTTAACGGGCTCACATAATTTTCTGTAACACCAGCGGTCGAACATCCGGGTCACCTCCGCGCGCAGACTCAAACGCCGCTGCAGCTCACTGGTTTCCGTAGTTAGCTCGCGCTACCCGCTGAGCGCTGGCTGGACGAGCAGCTCGCGGAAACGGTTCGTCCCGATCGAACTGCGCGACAGCTTCGTGGCGGATTACCGCTTGATGTCGGGAAGGACTCGCGCAGTCAGTGTTCGTGACGCGCGTGTTTTCGGAGAGCGCGCTGGCAACACCCTCCGTTAACATGTGAGATGTGTACGGAAAGCTATTTAACTGTGCGTTGTTTCTGCTAACAGACCGAGCAGCTAGCAGCAGCTACCCTCAATCCAATTAATGCTAGCTCGCTTGATCTGCTGCCCGCCTCCCCTCAAGCGTCGCGTCGGTAACGGAGCAAAATGAAGAAGTTCAACATTAGGAAGGTGCTGGACGGCTTGACGGCGTCCTCCTCCTCTGCGCCTGCCCAGCCGGGGACTCCCAGGGAGAACGACGGAGTCCCGGAGACTCTCCAGTCCGAGCACTTCCAGCTGTGTAAGGTAGGTCCTGGTCAGGTGACAGGAGCCAGCAGGTTGTTTTCATCTGGACCGGAGACAACGGCACGCCAGGTGCTTTACTTCTTATTGTGATCCCACCAAGTAATAAACAGCTGAAATTAATCTGTTGGTGAGCTTTAGCCAGATAATGAGCTGAAGTTTGGTGTGGTGGTCGCTGAGAGTCATCCCCAACACGTACTCTGAGCACAAACAATTAAAAGACTTTGCAATTAAGTATTGAAGTCTACATTGTTAGCAAAATACCTCATGAACCACTTAATTTAATGATAATTTTACATTTCAGTCAAGTCAAATTTATTTATAAAGCACTTTTTTAAAAACATTTATGAAAGTCCCTTTTTTTTAGGATATATATATTATATATAAAATATTACTTATTATTTTTCTTCTTTTGGCTGCTCCCTTCTTCAGGGGTCGCCGCAGCGATCTAACTCACACAAAGACTTGGTGATTGTTTTTACGCCAGATGTTCTTCCTGACCCCACCTCAGACACCGAGCTACCACAGCCCTGTGTGTGGAGCAGAGAGCTGCATCTAGAGTGCCCCCCAGGGAGCAGATGGTGGGGGTTAAGAGCCTTGCTCAAGGGCGCAGAGCAGGGCAAATGAGGGTGGAGGCAGGTGTGGGTGTTTCGTGTTTCACCTTCCCCACCCACATTTTGATGTTGGTCTGGGGGGTCGAACCGGCGACCTTCCAATCACAGGCCCACCTTCTCAAGCCTTTGGTTGGCCTTGTTGCTGTTTTAAGTGCTATATAAATAAATTGGTATGGTATGGTAAGCCTCTGCTCCACCACTCCCCTTTGTTTGTAGGACAAAATAAAAAGCCTTAATCATGTAAAGAAGGGAAGAAAAAAAAAGAAGCTAATTATGATAAGAATTTAGACACTGAACTTTGCAGACGGACTTTCTTTTATTTGTGGAAAATTAAGTATCCCCTTGAATATAAAAGTATTAATTTAAAGTGTGTAAAGTGATTAATTTTAAATTTAGTTTTGGTCAAAGCTGTGCACCTGTGGGACCAAAGAGCCGTGTTTGGCCCCAGAGCCGCAGGTTGCACAACCCTGCTCTAGCAGTGACAAGCATTCGTTAATGCCATAAAATGCTTGTGATTAGTGTCGAGGTCATTAACATTTCATATTTCAGTCGAGCGCTGAAAGACGTCTGCACGCTGGGACTCTTTCAGAGGGCTGTAAAAAGTGTTCCCTTAAAATTCAACGCACGCATGGTTTCCTCGAGCTGTTTGGGCGGTGCACAGTTTAAGGTTTCAGAGTTTCTGTGTGTTAAACATTATGTGAGCCGGCCCGCCAGGGTGCAGAGCGGGTCAGTTCCCCAGGTTACTGAGCTGTGGCTTCACCTGCTTCATAATTGTGCTGCGAGCTGCACAGAGCTCGTGCACACGGAGCGAGGCTTTCTCTCTGGAACAATCAAGTTACAGACGCCTCATGATTAATATTTTCATGACTTCATGCAAGATCCATCCGTTCACTGTATTCAGTCCAGATATTTCACTGAGTCGTGTTGGTTTACAGACGTGACCCTGTGCTCATGACGGTTACAAAAATATATTTTAGTTTCCATTTAAACTCTTTGTTTTGTCTGGCTTGTTTGGTTAATGAAAGCCATTTCCCAAACTAATGGATTGCATTTTTTCAGGTTACTGTTATTTTTTCCTCGGATGCTTGTATGTGTTGAAGGTGACGGATTAGCTGACTGGTCGTCTCTTTCTCCTGCAGACGGTGCGTCATGGCTTTCCATACCAACCGTCCTCGATGGCTTTTGACCCCGTACAGAAAATCTTGGCTGTTGGGACTCAGACTGGAGCTTTGAGACTGTATCCTTTTGTTTTTTATTATATTTTTATTTTTTGCATATAAATGAAGAGGGCTGATGTTTCAAGTGATCAAATATTAGAATGTTGCACTTCTTGTGCGTGCACGTACGCACAGATATAATAACAGCTAAAACCCCAATTCCAACAAATACAATTCCATAATCACATATTTTCTTCACAGTTGAATAAAGTCAGGGCAGCACGGTGGTGCAGTTGCTAGAGCTGCCGCCCCTCAACAAGCAGGTTACTGGTTCAAATCCCGGCCGGGTGCCTTTCTGTGTGGAGTTTGTATGTTCTCTCCGTGCTGCATGGGTTTTCCTGGGTACTCCGCTTTCCTCCCACAGACCAAAACCATGCTGGTTAGGCTGATTGTTGACTAATTGTCCCTAGGTGTGAGTGAGAGAGGGAATAGTTGTTTGTCTCATTTGTCTCTGTCCCTCTGATGGACTGGAGACCTGTCCAGGGTGTCCCTCTGATGG